CACGACTAGAAATCAGTGGTTAAGTTGTATTTACAACACTGTTCCAGAACAGTTCAACCTAAATATTCCGATGTGTCCAGCGCATTTTATGGAGGACTGTTTCCTGATCCTGGTAGAGTAGACTACAACGCCGGCTGTTCTGACTCACAGACTGTAAGTACGTTTTTTATATATTAAACAATTTGCCACTGACGATTCAAATGTGAGTTTTGAGCAGTGTAGAGTAGCGTTTGTAGTTTGTCATTTCTCCGATCACAAATGCAGACATGGTTTTATGTTTATGCGGCGCGTTGCAATGCAACTCGTAAAAAAACAATATAAGTCATTATAATCCGTAATTATGTCCCCACTGGATGCAACAAATGTCTCGTTTATAATGGGTTTTAATGTTTTTGTCTCGTCGCTCCGGAACACGGCATCACAGTATGGTGAGGGGCGTAACATTTCCGTCACATGCTTGAGGTATTCAGCCAATCACAACACACTGGATAGCTGGCCAATCAGAGCACACCTCGCTTTTCAGAGCGATGAGCTTTGTAAAAAATCGACGCGTTTCAGAAAGGCAGGGCATAGAGGAGAAACAATAATGTACAGTATGTGGAAAATAATGTGTTTTTTGACCCTTAAACCGCATAAACACATTTCATTACACCAAATACACAAAATAATGTTCTTTTTAGCAACATAATATGACTAATTTAAATATTAAATTCACCCTATTTTCCAAATGCATGTTATAGATCTTATTGTGAATAATTCATCCATGTATGCGTTTCATTTAACAGAATCTCATGGCAACTATTTTACATTTTGGCGGCTAATTCATTTGTATTCATACAAACTCATTCATACGATCTGCTTATGCCACAGTGATGGTTAGATTTAGGGGTGGAGCTCCATGCTTACTTTTTTCTAAAAATCATACATTTTCATAAGACTCGGTTGGTTTCATTATATAAAAAGTTATCAAAATGTATTTACTCATTTCTTTTAAATCAAAATGTCAACTTGATCTTCCAGTGAAATATCAGACTTTCGTCCATATGCCAGACTTCTCCAAACATTTAGTTCACATAAATTCCACCCACAAATGACTGCAAGCTCTCATTATATTTTTGAGTGCAATGCCCATATCTCAAAATCCAGTCAACAACCGTTGAACAGAACCAAGTTGGCACCCTACATTTTAAATTTTTTGTTATTCTGTTCAGATATATGTGTAAAAAGAATCTTGGGGGTGATCCTTGATGACAAGCTGACCTTTAAAGATCATATTGCAAATACAGTAGGATCATGCAGGTTCACACTACACAGCATCAGGAAGATCAGACCCTTCCTAACAGAGCATGCAACACAGCTTCTCGTGTTTATTGTCATCTTATGGTAAATCGCTTGTTGTATTCCTCAACTGTAAGTCGCTTTGGATAAAAGCATCTGCCATATGAATAAATGTAAATGTCACAATATAGAAGGTAAGATCTGTTGCTACTTCCATTTCATTTCAACTTTAATATCAAATGGTGTTAACATAGCACTGTTCTTGTTTGTTCTTATTCTTAAGGCCCATTCACACCAAGAACAATAACTGTAAAGATAACTATATTACCATCCACACCACAACGCACAATAACGGTCTGTTTGTTCTAAGCATTCGCTCCAGTTTTGTCATCTGCCATTTTTAAATGCTCAAGCTCTTTAAAGTCGGATGGATTTTGATTGTTTTTTTTTATCTTTTATCAGCTGGGGGAAAAAATCATTCTGAAAGTGATTCCAATGATATCGTTCGTCTGTGCTGTTACAGTTGTTTTATGGACTCTGCTATTCTTTTCAATTTAGAACGACCATATAATTATTGGTCATTCAGTTTCTTTCCCCAGGCAATCTACCTCATGAACAGTTAATGTTCTCCCATTGTGCAATTAAAGTACAGTATGTGCAATAACCTTATACTTATTTATCACCCTAAACCCTAGTACATCCCTACAACTTATTTTATTATATTCCTATTCCATCTATAGCACACCTGTACATACAATTTATTCTTTTTTTTTTGTGGTTTATATTTATGCATGTGTATTTTATTCACATCTCATTTTTATTATCTGTGTGTTGTTGTTGTCTCAGTGTACTGGAAGCTTGTGACACTATAACAAATTCCTTGTATGTGCAAACATACTTGGCAATAAAGCTCTTTCTGATTTCTGATTCTGATTCTGATTGTCTTTGGTGTGAACGGGCCTTTAGTGGTCTATCCATGCAAATCATTTTAAGATGGTAAAAGGCTTGTAAACTAACTCATAAATCTGTAAATAAGTACTTAAATGTGGAAATGTGTTACTATAATTATTTGAGTAACTGCAATGTCCATGTGTGTTCCACAAAGTTTCTTGGTATTGACCCAAAATATCACTCCAAGGATTGTTCAGATTTTGTCTACTCACCTGGAAGTCTCCATCGGAGCGTTCCTCACCCGAGAGCTCCTGGAGGACAGAGGACACCCCTTGGGTCAGCCGGCTAAACATGGCTGACCTGCATGTAAATGCACAGAGTATTTTGTATCAAGCTCTGTATTGTGTGCATTACTGAAACTGCTCTGACACATTCAGTACACAAGCAAAGATAAAGCCAGAATCATATAATCATATGAATCAAATAAGGACTTCCCATCTGGGACACAACTCACACGTATGCACAACGACATCAAAAGTTCAAATGATTACAGAATTAGTGAACATTTTCATTTTAATGTTCCATGAGGGCAGAACTTCGGTGAATCATGACCCCATTACCTAAAAGGGTCACTTGGCTCTCAAGATCCAGTATCAGGCAACCAACAACTAGTAATACAATGGAATGTGACAAAGGTAATTATTCAAATCAAACCTTTGAAATACCATCTGGCCTCTTTAAATTAAATGGCACTCACTATTAATTACCAGTTTGGCATTAAATATTCAGTTTATATAACTATAACGCTTCTGTTCTGCATCACGCCTCACTGTTGCATTACACCACATTAATAAAACAAATATAGGTTGCATAAAGGAAAGGATCTTACAGAATGGTTAGTCTGAAATGAATATTTGTTAGTTTATATACTTGTATTTCCCATTGCTTATAACTGTAGACTGTGAGCACATCATATGCATAACTCAAAATGCATAACTAGAACACTTGATGAGCTCAAATCTGTGAGGTAATGTGTGTCCCCTGTACTGACAATAACTACAGGAGGCGTGAACGCCTGTATAACAACAATACCTGACTGTATTTCCTGATAATAAATAACCACCTTTAACAGAGCCATAAATCGGAGAAAAACGAACAGAACCGAACAACGTCGAAACAGAGAAACGGGCGACTGCGGCTGCGTCGCTTTCATTTTGTCTACACAACAGCAAAGACTATTGAGCGACTCTTCTTCCTTGTATTTTTTAAAATCGATTGGTATAAGAACACATGAACACATATAAAGGTATGACTTTTATTTTTGGTTATAAAATGGCATCATTAAAGCCCAATGAGCGGCAGTAACGAACGCAAGCTGTAACTGGGCTCTAGCTGAGGATTCGTAAACAACTCGAACGATATTTATAAATGTAACGTTACTTGTGTTTGTGCATGTCAGCTGCTGAATACATTTAGAGCCATCTTGTTAATGTTATTTAAGCATAAAACTTACCTGTGTAATAGGCGCAGGGAAGAGCCGCGTGGTTTATTTGATCAATTTCGCCTCCAGGATTTTAGAGCCACATCACCACACATCCCGGAAACAGAAACGCAACGCCGTGATTGGACCGCGCAAGGGAGCGTGTGAAAACTACTAGTGACACAGTGAGCCGCATAACTGTACACCAAGGGACCGTCCACAAAAATAAAATGTAGAATCAAACTAAATTAGATATGGTTGTTTGCAAGAGATAATAGGAACCAGTTACAACTATTATTTTAGGTTTATAGTTACATCATGGTTCAAAACAGAACGGGACGACATGATTTAAAGCTTAACATGATTATTAATTATGGAAAACAGTTGGGACGCAGTCTCGTTCTTCTGGCACACTACACCACAGTGTTTGTCAGCTTTGTATCTCGCTCTGTGAACTGTTTTTTGGAAGTGATCAAGTGGATGTCGGTATTTGCCAGATACACGGTAGCGGTATTCGATTCTATTCATAGGAGCCTACACTGGTGGACCAGAAGCCGCAGTAGGACGTCCATAGAGATGCTCTCCAGCAGCGAAACAGAGTCAGACTGATGAAGGACATAAAGTGCTTACGTTCCTGGAAAACAATAATTCCTGGATCTTAAATGGATTTATAGACTCCAGGGAGAACAATATCAATGCATCGGTACATGTAGAAGTCTGTAATGTTTCTGTACTACTTGAGTTGTATGTCGCAGTCTTGAGTTTTTGTTCATTTCAAAGGGCTCATTGAAAGGTCTAGAGCAGGGATCCTCAAATCTGGCCCACGAGATCCACTTTCCTGCAGAGTTTAGCTCTAACCCTAATCAAACACACCTGAGCATGCTAATCAATGTCTTCAGGATCATTAGAAAATCACAGGTAGGTGAGTTTGATCAGGGTTGGAGCTAAACTCTGCAGCGCATTGGACCTCCAGGGTAAGATTTGAGGAACCCTGGTCTAGAGGTTAAGGGAGAGTCCACCACTGTTATAACCACACCTGACAGACTGAAGATTGAACACAGCACCTGGTTTTCAGGTCTAAACCAGTATTCTACCAGAAGAAAACACTGAAGAAAAGTTGGTTAAGCTCATAGTAACTCGGTTTGCCTCAAAGAATGTTATAATAGGCTTAATTTCTTGTGGAACCGTATCTCAAAGGACACATTTCATTCCTGTTGTACTGTCTATGATATGTGAGCTTTTGAATGGTAAAACTATTATTACTATTATTGTTGAATTTATAAACCCATGTAATATGGATGTGATGTGTAATTTGACAATCAAATGGTAACAAATTGAAAAATGTTTTTTTTTCATGTGAAGAATGTGGAGGCTCCAATGATTTTTTTGGCATTATACAATACATTATATATAATTTTGCCACTATAATGGCCATACCTGCATTGTTTTGGAATCATTAGGAAGATTGCAAATATTGATACGTAATTAGGCCAATTGTAAAGGCTTTGTCATATATGAAAAAAAATATATCTGCTGAAGCTTGTTACCTTGGCATATGATGATGGCTCAAAATTGTGACATGGCTTCTAACATGTATTCATATGAATATATATCAGCTGATCATTTGAAAATAAACTTCGAAAGAACTTGCATACAAGAAATGCTGACACAGTTGCATCTGTTCACAGGCCGTCACATGGGAACATTTGTCAGCATGTCCCCAAGCTCACATGCAATGGAGCATGCTAATCAATGTCTTCAGGATCATTAGAAAATCACAGGTAGGTGAGTTTGATCAGGGTTGGAGCTAAACTCTGCAGCGCATTGGACCTCCAGGGTAAGATTTGAGGAACCCTGGTCTAGAGGTTAAGGGAGAGTCCACCACTGTTATAACCACACCTGACAGACTGAAGATTGAACACAGCACCTGGTTTTCAGGTCTAAACCAGTATTCTACCAGAAGAAAACACTGAAGAAAAGTTGGTTAAGCTCATAGTAACTCGGTTTGCCTCAAAGTTAATCCTAAACAGCGCTGTTTTTACCCTAGCAATCTTTTTTTTTTGCATATTCACTGAATGTAGATTAATAGTCAGGGAGAAGAGCCAAATCATTACCATTAGCACATATGTATATTTTACCCAACTTTATTTTATTTAATGTCTGTGGTTGGAGCAAATATACAGTATGTTGGGTAAAAGAGTAACTTTAAATAATCATAGTAAAATATATTCTGAAACAAGTGGGAATTTGTATCATCAGTAAGAGACGAAACTCTAATCATCATCATTTGTGTGGGGTAACCTGAACCAATTCAGCTCCAACATAAGATTTATTGGACCTCTTTCACATTTCAGGGGTTCTCAGAAGTGAGCAGTGCTACTTCAGCATCACTGATGTACCATTACAGTTTTATTTATTATTTTATTTTTATATAATAAATATATCATTTTAGTCATTTTAGGCCATGTTTATTCATTTCGAGTAATATTAATGTTTATTTTTATGGTTTTAGTTAATGATAATAACCCGGAGTTTGGTAAACTTCTATAGTGGTGAATGGGAGGCAACAGCAAATATGATTTTTGTATTCCCATTTGCTTCAGTAGCAAAAGAAAGAAATCACTGTAGGGTTTCCTTGATTTTCCAAAACAGAAAAAGAAAAAAATAGATTGATTAACAACACCCTCACAGCTATTTTTGTATTGATTTGATTGTTTTTAATCATTTAATGGCAAAAAATATATAACTCAAAGTATAGCGCTATAATGTATGCTACAATAAATTCATTAAAAAATAAAATATCAAGAAACGCTGATTTACAATTGTAGTAACTATGGAAACACGTCATCACAGACTGTGAAAAGGGTCCAATGAAGTTTTCTTATGGGCAGATTGTGACTATGTGTGCCAGTACCCCATTTTAGGAACACAAGCTTTGAATATTGTCTATATTACTACTTATCCAAAACATCAGTAATGGAAACTCTGTAATGGAAAACTCTGTGTTCTGAGAACAAAGTACTGTCATGCTCACCAAAATGCATTTTTAGAAACTTTCCAGAAAAGACTAAGTTTTAGAGGAATACACAGCATTTTGGATCTCTGAATGTTATAATAGGCTTAATTTCTTGTGGAACCGTATCTCAAAGGACACATTTCATTACTGTTATACTGTCTATGATATGTGAGCTTTTGAATGGTAAAACTATTATTACTATTGTTGTTGAATTTATAAACCCATGTGATATGGATGTGATGTGTAATTTGACAATCAAATGGTAACAAATTGAAAAATGTTTTTTTTCATGTGAAGAATGTGGAGGCTCCAATAATTTTTGCCATTATACAACAAATTATACAATACATTATATATAATTTTGCCACTATAATGTCCGTACCTGCATTGTTTTGGAATCATTGGGAAGATTGCAAATATTGATACGTAATTAGGCCAATTGTAAAGGCTTTGTCATATATGAAAAAAATATATCTGCTGAAGCTTGTTACCTTGGCATATGATGATGGCTCAAAATTGTGACATGGCTTCTAACATGTATTCATATGAATATTTATCAGCGGATCATTTGAAAATAAACTTCGAACGAACTTGCATACAAGAAATGCTGACACAGTTGCATCTGTTCACAGGCCGTCACATGGGAACATTTGTCAGCATGTCCCCAAGCGCACATGCAATAACCAATGGCCATCCCAGCCACGGTCATCCTTAAGCCTCACATACACAGTGAGCTGGATTAGTCGCAGTTAATATCAATAAGATGGAGTTGGTGGGGCGTGTCTGATCCCAGGCCAGTACAAAAACCTCTTGAGGGTGCCCACCTCTCTCTTAGGTTCCAGTGTCGTGTGTCTGTGAGAAGCGAAACACTCGCCTGCACAGCAGACCAGTTGGGATTTCTGACAGAGTAGCTCCAGTCTTGCTCGCCAAAACAATCAGTTCTCAGTTCAGCGATGGGGAATTCGACGGGCAGCACCGTGGACGACCTGCAGGCCGTTGAAATGCATCTGTGGTATAAGAAGTTCATGACTGAGTGTCCATCTGGTCAGCTCACGCTGCATGAGTTCAAACAGTTCTTCGGGCTCAGAGGTCTGGATCAAGAGGCCAATGCCTACATCGAGCAGATGTTCCGCACATTTGACATGAACAAGGTGAGTGAACATTCATTTTGAGTGGATAGTAACAGTTGCTAAGGATGCCTTTGAAAACTTTCTGCATTAAAGGGGTGCTATTATGCTTTTTCACTTTTTCAACTTTAGTAAGTCTGTAATGTTGCTGTTTGAGCATAAAAAAAGAGCTGCAAAGTTACAAAGCTCAAAGTCCAATTCAAAAGGAGATATTTTATTTAATAGAAATCACTTTTCAAAAACTACAACGAATGACTCATTTGGACTACAACGCATATTTTCCGGGATTTGTGATATCACAAATATCGACGAATGGGACAAGACCTGGTTGAGCTGCACTACAGAAGGCAACGAGTGTTATCATCACTATGTCGGAGACATGTTAGTTTTCACAAGGCAGACGAACTTAAGAGTGGTTACAATCATCCGGGTTTAAATCGCGCTCAAATTGATTTGATTTTGACGCAATATTTACACTGAAGCTGGCAGGTGGCTATGGTAAGGGGCATGACATTTCCCGACCAGGCGCCGAGTGCTGCCAATCACAACACACACTGGCCCAGCTAACCAATCACAGCACATTTTGTATTTCAGAAGGCGGGCCTTCATTTGATACAGGAACTATTCGAGCCGTTCATGCCAGACTGAGGAGAGAGGTGTTGTAATAATGTAAAATATGTGAAAAATAATATGTTTTTCGAATAACCTAGTATTAGAGCCTGTTCTAGTACACCCCCAAAACAAAATCAAGACTTTGTAAAAGAGCATAATAGGACCCCTTTAAAAGACGGTTTCAGCATAGCTGGAGTATTTGACGTTTCAGTTTTTATTAAAACACTGGTTATAATATGCAGGTTTTGAGACTCATTGCATTCTGTTAAATCAGATTTTACATATACACTGTATATACAGATTTGGTGTATATACTGTTCAAAAGTATGATTTTTTTTAATAATTTTTTTTTTATTAATACTTTTATCCAGTG